CCACATCCAGGAGAAGATCTTTTAATATCAGTGCACAATTAAGTTTTCCATTTTTCTGCCAGAAGTGCTTTTAATTTGAATTATATCTTAGTGGCAATGGTAGGGCTGGCAAGGGTTGTGGTAGTGATGTGGCAGTCAGTCCTGGGGGTTGTGGTGGTGACAATACTGATGATGGTTGTAGTGGTGGTGATGACAGTGGTGGTGGTAATGACAGTTAGTTGTGGTGACAGTGATGGTGGAGATAATGGTGGTGGTGGTGATGACAGTAAGAGTGGCAGTGATAGCAGTGGGAGTGGCAGATACAGTAGTGATCACAGTGATGGTGGAGGTGATGGTGGCAGTGGTGGTAACAATTGCAGTGGCAGTGGGGGTGACGTGGTGGTGGTGATGATGGTGGTGGTAGTGATGACAGTGGCAGTGGCGGCAGTGGTGGTGGCACCACGGTAGTGGTGATGATGATGGCAGTGGCGACAACAATGGTGGTGATGATGACAGTAGTGGTGGTGACAATGACAGTGGTGTTGGTGGTGACAGTGTTGGTGAGGGCAGTGACATTGGTGGTAGTCATGGTGACAATGACCATGGTGGTGGTGGTGGTGATGACACTGCTGGTGGTGGTGGTGATGACAATGATGGTAATGGTGGTGACAACATGCTTGCGGTGGTGACAACATGCTGGTGGTGGTGATGACGGTGCTCATGGTAGTGATGGCAATGCTGGTGGTGGTGGTGATGACAGCGATGATGGGGTGGTGACAGTATTGGTGGTAGTGGTGACAGTGCTGGTGATGGTGGTGATCTTCAGAGGCATGATACTCTTGTCAGTGCTGAGACCCATAATCAGGCTCTGCGGAACACAGTCTGCATTTCTTGTTGCCTGGACCAGAGGACAGGGCTGTGATGGAGCTGGCAGAGTGCTCTGACAGGCCTACGCATAGCAGAGATGTGCATGGTTCCTTTCCTATTGTTACTTTGGGTGAAGGGAAGCAACAGAATTGGAGGGAACGTTTCAGTGTGACCCAGAATTTATGTTTAGGCCAGTTTTCAGACAGGATTGTAAATGGTTCAAGCAGTATCTTTAAAGATCTTTAAAAAAAGGGAATTTGAGATACCTAGATACTGTTCCAGTTCTCTTTTCATTGCTAAATTCCTCTATGGAGAAGCTTTCATTTTTCTTTCCTCTTCTGCCATGACCTTTATCTTGTTCAGTCCACCAGCCTTTTGTTTCTCTGCTTGCATTCTCACGATCTCCAAATGACTGAGATTTTCTAGCAGTGTGAGCTTGGGCAATGCACCTACATGTTCTGTTCTCCTTGCCTCCCTTTCTTGTTTTCTGCTATACTTAGCACCTGGGACACCATAGATCACTGGTTTATTTCTTTAGGTTCTCTTTCCTCATATGAAAAGTATAAGTTCCATTAGGGCAGAGACTGTTTTATTCACTGTTTTATTCCAAAAACCTCCAATAGGACCTGGCACATAGTTGGTAGTTCATAAATATTAATTTAATAAATGAATAAAGTTATATAACTGCCTTATTTTCTGTTAAATCAAATGGGACTACTAATGCTAATCTCACATAGTTACTATGAGGATTAAATGAAATAATGTAAGTAAAGTACCTGGCATTCCCAGGCTGGTGTAGTAAGGGCTGGTGAACTGTTAGATGGTCCATGGCACTCTTCTTTCTCATAACCTCTTTGTCTTTGTTATTTAGAATGATATTCTGGTTAGCTTCTTACCTCCTTAGTGATGGATCTGTACCTTCTTTCTTCTGTCCACTAAACTGGCCAGTTTTAGAGAATTGCCCAGTGGCCCTGAGTAAGGAAATCCCAGGTTTTGTCTTTTTCAGCTTGCTTATTCACAAGGCTTTGATTATTGTTAATAAAATAGACTATGTATTATCATCATTTATAATTCTGTTATGTTAGTTTTCATATATGATTCTAGATCCATGTGTTATTTTTTAATACAGCTAGCAGTAGTATCGTGAATTATCCTGTGAGGTAGCTTCTATTATCCTCACTTTACAGATGAGGAAACCAAGCCTTACAGAGGTTGATATCTTACCTGTGGGTACACACAGCTAGTAAGTGGATCAAGAAGACATTCTTAGATCTGTTCCTTCTGTTTCTTCCTTTACCCATCCAGAAGCGTGCACAGAGTGTATACCATAGGCCAGGTACCATGCTAGGCTCTGGCTGAACAACAGGAAAAAAACATCAGTGCAGAACCTGTGACCCTGCACATCATAGTTACCATTACCACAGCCTCTCTGCTGAACACACTGTGGAGTGCGAATTCTAGGGTGAGCCCTGCTCAGGTATTTTTACTTCCCTAACTCAGCCTTACTTCAAGCTGCAAATATCTAAATCTAAACTCATGAATTGCCTTTCTTTCTGCCAACTGCCTGCTCTCACCACCAAAATTACATATTTTTCTATCTCCATTAGAAAAAACACCTGTCATCCTTCTAGTCACAGTCTCAAAACTTTGGAATAACTTTGATTATCCCATTTCTTTTATTCCATACTTTCAATACACACCCAAGACCTCTTGATTTTTTCCTTAAGATTTTATTTTATTTTGAGAGAAAGAGAGCATGAGGGAGGAAGAGCAGAGGAAGAAGGAGAAGCAGACTCCCCTCTGAGCAGGGAGCCCGACATGGGGCTCAATTCTAGGATCCAGAGATCATGACCTGAGCTGAAGGTAGACACTTAACCAACTGAGCCACCCAGGCGCTCCTACCTTTTGATTATTTTTATCCTTGAAAATATGTCTCTTGTTTCTCCTCTTCAGTTCCTTTCTACCATTCTAATATCAGCTTCTATGCCCTGATCCTTGACTTACTGAAATTAGCCTCAAGAATGGGTGTTAATTTTATCCTCTGCTTCAGACTTCACTGAATTGTAAGTTTCCTAAAGGCCTAGAGTCTGCTTATTGATTATTATCTCCCTAACACTATACCAGGCAGATAGGGGACATTCAGATGGCTATTAAATTAAAGCAACTTTGATGCTGAGACCACAGTTCTTAAACTTGATCTGGACTTTGATGCTTAGACCACAGTTCTTAAACTTGATCTGGAGGTTTATTTGGTGATTATAAGTACTTTCCCTGGAAGATCATGTAAGTATATTATAAGTAGGCTGTTCTTTGCATCTCAATAATATATATTTTTAACAAAGTCTACTTCTGCTTTTTTCCATTAATGTTTGCTACTTGTGTATTTGTTTTATTGTCTGCTAGCACCAAAGCCCTAGAGACATATATGGTTAAACTATAAACTGATAATTGTTTTTTCTATTGAATACCACTCTTCCATTTTTCTCATGCTACCGTAACTCTGTAGAAATGCAATTTGAGAACCAGTGTATATTACAAAGAAATTATGAACCATTCAAAATTTTAGATGTTACTGGATTGGACACAGTAACTCTTGTGCCTAAGGTTTCCCCCATTTGCGGGATAGAGCAATTTAGTATTTCCTGAAGCCCTGATATTACTGTGTTTGCAGCTCAGGGAATTGATGGGGATAGAATGGGTGTGCCAGTGGTCTTCTTCCTTACTTTCTTTTCCCACTTTAGTGATCTCTTCCTGAGCTCACTGTTGAACCCTTAACCTTCCTGCATACTCAGGAGAGACATGCTGGCTTGTACAGATGTAGTAGAAATCAGTGCATTCTAGACAATTTTGTTTACCATCTCCTTACTTTTCTCATTGGAAGTAAATTGTTTACATAGTTAGCAGTGCCCTTAGACTGAACAAATTTTGCATTCTTAAAAATATTTTGAAGAAGTTATGCTTATGGCATTTCTAAATGTGTATCATGACTTAAATCATTAATCTTGTTGACTCTTCAGGGAACATATATAGTTTCTTCAGGACTCAAACTGAAGCTGCATAAAAACTGTAAATAATTATGTTCCCAAATAAATCTTTTTATAAATGACTTAACAGTGACTAAATCTTGTATTAAGAAAGCAGGCATTTTATAAGAATAATAACTATAATTTAATACACTTATTATATAATAGCATGCAAACTGCTGCAGAAAAACTTGAATGTTATATAATAGATACTATTAGATCATAACATTTGACAAATTATGATTTTGAATTCAGCATCTGCCTGTAGTGAACTTTTGTTTTATTGTGTGTTTAAATTTTAAAAAGTTGATTCAGAGTAGATGTGCTTTAAGTCATTTTCTTTTATTAGAAATTAGGTAGTGGCAAAACCCAGCCTCATCATGTTACACAGAAATTACTATGTTTACTATATTAATTAAAAGATAAGATGAAATTTCCAAATGCTATCTCCAGTGAACAAATAATATCTTCCTGTACTGACTGTATCAGATCTATCAAATCACATACACAAAACGTTTTTGAATTAATGAAAAAATATTAAATCTGTTTTAGATACTGAGGATTCAGCAGTGTAAAAATGGACATAATCACTAATTTTTTGGAGCTTACATTTTAATGAGGAAATGCAAATAAACAGGTTATGTCAGACAGTGATAAGTGCTAAGAAGAAAATCTAAGGACAGTGGGGTAGAGAGTGTAGGGAGGGCTACTTCTAGTCAAGGACATCAGGAAGGCCTGTTGGGAGGTGACATCCAGCTACACTGGGGCTTATATGTTGGTAAAGTCAGTTTTATGAAGATCTGGGGGAGAACAGTCTGGGATAGTGATTAGGATGGTTTGAACAGGGAACAAACAATATGTGTTCAAGAAACCAAGAGAAGGCCAGAGAGGCTAGAGTGTAGGGGACTGGGTGTGAGTGTTAGGAAGTGGGGCTGGACACTCAGGCACAGAATTCAAGCACTGTGATGTGTTACAGACTATTATAAGGAGTCTGGATTTTATTCTGTGGTCAGTGGGACACCAATGAAGGTTTTGAACAAGGGTACAGCCTGATCTGTAACTGCCAGCTTCAAATGTGCATTGTTGAAAGATTTCTTTTAAATGGAAATAACTTTTCTTTATATTTTACAGAATCGACCAGAGGGCTGCCATTTGGTCAAAGGATGCTTTTGAGACTCATCAAGACTTAAATGAAGTAGGTGCCATCATTATTGGTTGTATGAAATGAATTAGCCAATCATGAAATTTATTATTCTTTTTTCCTAGTATTGGGAATTCTTTCTGATTAAAACTTTAAGTGTTTTTGCTCTTAAGTGAGTTTGTTTTCCCTGTAGCTCTTTGGGTAATGTTTTTCCTCACTCTGGAGCAAATAGATTTAAAATTATCTGAGAGACTGCTCACTACATTTTGGACCTAAACCAAGTCCAGCAGTCATTTCATTATTCTGTTTTCGACTTTGCTTTAGGATTGTATAACATGGTGTGGCAGTTACATTTGTAACTCTTTCTCTTAATTTTATTCCGTCTCTCTCTCTCTCTCTCCTTCTCATGGCTTTTGTAGTCTCAAATGTAAACCTGCTTACTATTTATCCGTGGAGTATGATATAGTTTGGTGTTTGCAATAAGGTCTTCTTAGTACATTTTGAAACGTTGAAGTCCTATTTTCCAATCCAAATGATTTCTCATCAAACCGGACATCATTATGTTAATGTTTGGTCTAAATTTTCTTTGAAATAGATCATTTAATTCTCCTGTTGGAAATCAATATAACATAATTAGGATCCCTGTTATTATGAATGCTTTGGCTTAAGACCTTGGCTTGAAATACTGTCTAGTTTCCCTTGCCCTCATTTTATAATAAAGGAGCAGTGGGTGGTATGTCTGATTAGGATCATAGCAAAAGGAATGAAAAGACTTGATGCTCAGATCCCGGGAAGAAAGATGATGGACTTGAGGCAAATTGCTTATTTGTCACGTGAAGATTGATCTCTTCTCTCCCTCCAAGAAAAGGCAATTAATTAAATTTAGGGGATTTTCTTTTTCATTTTTTTACTTTAGAACTTGGCAGAAATGAATAGCCAAAGTTAAACCAGCTGCCTGATTAAATCAAGTTAAAAAAAATAACTAAAGTTGTGGAAAATGACCTAAAGTTAAAAAAACAGAACACTGCTTGTTATTTATTTGTGCATAGAGACGGCCTTCAAATTCCCCAATCTCATTCATGGTAAGAAGAGTGACAAAGAGTTTAAGAAAAAAGAGGCAAGAGGCTGAATCAATGAACACATTGTTTATAAGCAAAATGCTAGCTATAAAGAAGCGCTGATTTGTTTTGACATAAGTGACTAGAAAAATGAGGTGATTGTAAGAGTCAGCCTGTGATAGGTTTCAAGTATTTGGGAGAAACTCAGATTTGTGAACTAGAAGCCCATAAGAATGCTGAGATTACTTGAGCATTCTGAAATAACAGATGCGAAAAGATCTATTTGAAAATCTGCTTCCCTGTATTTCTTTGCTATTTTGTGTTGGCAGATTTCATGAAATGTGCCAGTTTATTGCTCTGGGATTACATGGGTGCAGGAACATTGAATGGAGACATGTATTCAAAATAAAATAGGCAATGCCCTATTTTAAATGTGTGCTCTTCCATGATAAGGGAGTGCTGCTGATCCAAACTGTTGATAAGAGTGGTGTGTGCTCAGTGTTTTGTTCCACTCAAAGGGTAAACTGTGTGGGATGTTTGTTCCAGTCCACATCTTTGGTGCACTTTCTGTTGTGACTAAAATTTGGAGGCCAGAGGAAACCTAGGAAAGCCTGAATGGGAGAAGTATGACCAATGCAGGGAGGGTCGGTACATTGATGAAGACATCCTATAGAGTAGATATATATTTAACTGGGTTTTTCTTAGCATTTCCCCAATGTAAGGAAAACCAGACTCTCTTATGGAAGAATCCCGTCGTAACATTTATTTAGGCAAGAATCCTATGGAACACAGTGGGAAACACTGCTTTAATATTTTTAATTGAAACAGAAAAATATATATAATGGTGCATATATCTTAAATGTACAGCTGGATGAACTAGATTAAGAAACAACATTATCAGCATCCCAGACACCCCTGTATAATTTCTTCTAGTCACTATTCTCCAATAAGGATAACTACTCTTCAGACTAAAATAGATTTGTTTTGTCTATTACTGAGATTTTTATAAATGCATTGTATGTACTTTTCTGTATCTGATTTCATTTACTCAGTATTATGCTTCTGAAATTCATACATATTTAGCATGTAGTTTTAGTTTTCTTCTCCTAGCTGTAACCCATTGTATGATTTTTCCCCTAGTTTTTTACTATTATGAGAAGTTGTTACTGATAACATTTTTTTTTAAATTAACTGCTATTTGGTCTCTGTATAGCTGACTTTTTACAGAAGTATTCCTTCTATCTCTAAACAGAAATGCAAGACTTTTTTGTTTGTTAGTTGTCTTCATTCCTCTTTGTTCCTTTCTTATTTTTATTTACCACTGCCCCCCTCCCCACCATTCACACATAGCCATATAGTTCTCTGAAATGGACCCACCAGATGCATATCTGCTTGCTTTCTTCACATCAATTGCAAGTCTAAAGTCAAAAGAGTTTCTTAAATATTTTCCAGACATTTCCATAGACCCTAATGCTGTATATACACAATAAAAATTTTAAGATGTTACATATGTACTTTATATTTTCCTAAAATTTCATATCTGTTAATTTACTTCTACTTTTTGAGCTTTTAAATTATACTTGCTCTGTCACAGATAGATGGGCCTCAGCTACAGCTTGGTTCCAGAGCTGACACTTGACTCCAGGTCTCCTATACTCAGTAAGACAATACATGGTATGATTTGTCTACATATAAACACCTGTCTCTGGGTATATTCTCCTACACTCCCAGTGAACTGGCTATAAAGTTCAATTTTTTTTTTTTTTTTTTTTTTAAGTAGGCTCTACACCCAGCATGGAACCCTCCCAGTGAACTGGAAAACACATTCACTTATTATTACCACTTGGCATGAGTATAGATTTGATTCTGGCTAGTCTCACTTTTCTTAAGCGAGTCTCAAGCTACTAGTCTTTGATCTTGGGTCCCTTGACAGGACTTGCAACCCCATCCCATGGGTTTTAGTGCCTCTGAGACTATGTTATAGGAGTTTGTTTATGAAAAACTGAGTAAGTTTCCCTGTTGCCATTGAGCTGAACTGTCAGATTTTTCCTCTGTAAGACATCAGAAGGTTTTATTTTTGAGGTCTTCTGGATCATAATTGAAAAATATTCTAGACTTGAGATCTATCAATATCTCTCATCCATTTTTTTTTCTTAAAGATTTATTATTTATTTGAGAGAGAGAGTGGGGGAGGGAGGAGCAGAGAGAGAAAGAGAATCCTCAAGCAGATTCTTGCTGAGCGACAGAGCCTGACACAGGGCTCAATCCCAGGACCTGAGATCATGACCTGAACTGAAATCAAGAACCAGCCAGTTAACCAACTGAGCCACCCAGGTGCCCCAAACAATGTCTCATCCATCTTTATCATTGGTTTTATTTATACCTCCACATCCATATAATTGATAAGCACTCAATAGATCAAAAAGCTGAGGGTAAATGAGAACAAACAGTGTTTTCCTTCATCATATCCCAGTAAATCCCCTTCTTGGCTCAATTTCCAATTAAGAAAAATAACAGATGTATGAAGAAAACTAATGGGTCTTCTCTTCCCTGAGAAAGCACGGCATATTGGGTCTTCAAACCACTTTTTCTGTTAGAGACTGAATATCATAAAGCAGTATAGGAGTTTCTTTTAGTTTTTCCATTGTAAAATTGAGGCAGGAGGTTTGAATTGGGTTAATTCTAGGAGCCTTTCAGTTTTGTTTTGTTTTGTTTTAATTTATTTGACAGAGAGAGAGATCACAAGTAGGCAGAGAGGCAGGCAGAAAGAAAGGCAGGCTGAGCAGAGAGCCCGATGATGGGCTCAGTCCCAGGCCCCTGAGATCATGACCTGAGCCAAAGGCAAAGGCTTAACCCACTGAGCCACCCAGGCACTCCTAGGAACCCTTTCAGTTTTAACACTCATTGATTCTACCTGTCCCCCATTCCCCCTATTTTTTTTTTTTTTTTCATTTTCCCAATGCTTGTAGAATTTAGTCACAGGTTCCCATCAAGGATGAACAAGGCAAACCATCCCAGAGTTACTGAGGGGAGGGATTAGGCCTCAAGGCCAATCATCTGAAGGCCTGGTTTGGGGAACAAATACTAGATCTTCTCTGTTACTTTCTTCTCTTGATCTCCTCTTACCATAAGTTGGCTTTCTTTAGTGATATGCTTGTATTCTTTTCTCTTTAGTTTTTGCATATCTGTTACTGCATTTGATTTGTGGTTACCATTGGATTTGCATATAACATCTTCTGCATATAGCAGTCTATATTAAGTTGATAGTCACTTAACTTTGAACCCGTTCTTTATTTCTTTCCCTCCACATTTTAGGTATATGGTGTCATATTTTACATGCTTTTAGTTTGTAAGTTCCTTGTCAGATTTTTACAGATATACTTATTTTTACTGCTTTTGTACTTCCTACTTTTTTACTCTTACTTATGGTCTTTCCTTTTGACTCAGAGAGTCCCCTTTCATATTTCTTGTAGGGCTGGTTTAGTGGTCATAAAGCTGGTTTAGATTTTGTTTGTATCCTCTTCTGCATGATAACCTTGCTGGATAGAATATTCTTGACTGCAGATTTTTCCCATTCAGTACTTTGAATAGATCATGCCACTCTCCTGGCATGTGGAGTTTCTGCTAAAGTCCACTGATAGCCTTATGGGTTTTCCCTTGTATATAACTATCTTCTTTTCTCTTGTCACTTTTAAAATTCTCTATCTCTACTTTTTATGATTTAAATTACTATGTGTCTTGGTTTGAACCTCCTTGGGTTAACTTTGTTGGGGGCTCTCTGTGCCTCCTGAATCTGGATATCTGTTTCTTTGCCCAGATTAGGGAAGTTTTTGGCTATTATTTCTTCAAATAAATTTTCTGCTCCCTTTTATCTCTCTTTTTCTTCTGAGATCCCTATAATGTGAATGTTATTATGCCTGATAGAGTCACTTATTTCCCTAAGTCTATTTTCATTTTGCATAATTCTTTTTCTCTCACCTGGTTGGCTTGATTACT